GACAAAGACGTATGTAGTACTGAAGTTCAACCTCTTGTCAACAGGTCATATTCTAAATTTACTCTCACAGCCATTCCTCCCAGCCTTCCCATAATTTTTAGACTGAAAATGTTTAGCTAACAGACAAAGCAAATAGATCCTTTAAAAATCGAAGTTGCAACACAATGCATTTGGTTAGGAGTGGAGGGGTGAGGGAAGAAAAAAGCTTTTAACAAAGTAGCCTCATTAAGAAACCAAAATTTCAGTTAAAATGCTTAAAGAACCATAGAGATATGCATGTTTCTATGGAAACTTGGAAAAAACATGTGTTATGGAAACAATTGTACTTGTGTTGCTTTCTTAAGTTTTTTGTCACTTCACCACTAATGTTCAGATTAAAGAGGATTTAGGAGTTTCTATGCCTGCAGAAGCCATAAACCAAGGCTTGTCATCAGCATTGCTTCCATAGTAACTAACAGTGATGTCACAGAAATAGGACTAAGACTTCCTGTGTAGAACAAACAGCAGAAAACAATATTCTCCTGAGATACAGAGCTCAGCTTTCATCTTTATGCTCCTACACAGTACAAAAATGGACATATGCTGTAGAAATAGAGCTTTCTCTGAACAGAATGCTTGGTTATTCTGGAGCTCTCAGACAATTGTGTACTTAGTAAGATTTAAGATTTGGTAGTAGGCATTGTTCCTTCCAGATAGGCTTTGACAAGATGTTGCCCTTACACAGACTTGACTCTTGTTGGCAAGATGACCTTAGAATGAGCTCATACAGCCTAAAAGTACAACTTACAAAAGGGCTTTTTAATATTGATGCTTGGAAAAGCAGGCTCCCTTTTTCAGCACGGGTGACATAGCCTTAAAATGCCCTGAGGAGGGAGCAATGCCTCAAAATTAGCAATCACTGCCACACCACATTCTTTGGATTGGTGGATCTTAGCCAACAGCCGAAACTTGAAAGACAAGGGACTGGAGTTACATTCCTCCAAAAATAGTGTCTGCTTGTTTTTGTTTTTAAATAAAAGTCCCAAATCCAAAAGATGCAACTATACCAAATTCTATGGTTGTCCTTTTACTGCCTACTAATTTGACAAACCACCAGTTTGCAACCAAATCCCAGATTTCTCAAGATCAATAAAACCACAGCAGCATTACTTTTACACTATGATTTTAGCTAGAAAATTCAGCCTCAGTCTTGAAACCCCAGTGACTATTCCCTTTCAAAACATGAATACTATTTTCAAAAAACAGAGAAGCAGCACAGGACTGGCTCAGATTAAAGAAAAATGCCAGTTGATTCATACAATGTCAGTGATTTAAAGACAGCTCACATTTAAAAAAATCCCAAGATTGACAAAAATTCTCTCATCCCACTAAAGAGATTAAAAAACTATTGGCTACCAACCTTCCCTAAATAAGCATACTTTATCTCCATCTTCCATAGGATTCCACAGGATAATGTGTTCAAAATCTTTTCCAGGCATTCAAGTCTCAGGACAGCAATCCTAAGTGTCCTTGTTGATTTAAGCTACTCAAAAGAAGAAAAAGATACACAGCACTGGGGGGCAAATCTTGTAGGGTTTTGGATATCAATGATTTATCTGGAAGCAAATAGGTAGTCAATTTAGCCTTAAAAAGCAAGGAAATATGCTCTATACCACATTCCCACTGAGGAAGAGGACTAATATGTTCACATTATGTGAAGATTTCCCCTGCAGAAAACCCAAGAAAAGTGCACTGTTAATAGTCCAATCTAACAGTAACAGACATTGAAAACTGTGTCAGAGTCTATCCTCTAAGAGAGAAATGATTCAATTTCCCTTACACAAGAAAAAAAGAAAGTTATGAATGCTTATTGTTTTTTCATTAAAGAAGATCAAAGAGGGCCCCAAACTCTGGACACCAGTGGCAATTATCAGAAAGATCTCCTTGATAGAAAGAGCATACGCTCTTCCTGGCCCACCTCTGTTCTCTGCACTTGAGTCTTTTATAGAATTGAGCCTCTCTGTAGACAGTCATTGAAACTGGAAAAGCGAGTCACCACACCACTTAAGTCAGGGGCGGGCAATTATTTTGGGCAGAGGGCCACTTACTGAGTTTTGGCAAGCCATCGAGGGCCACATGATAGGCAGCCAGGGGCATGTAAATATTAATTTTCTAAATTTTTTAGGGGCCCCACAGGCCAGATAGAATGACCTGGCGGGCTGCATTCTGCCCCCGGGCTGCATTTTGCCCACCCCTGACTTAAGTAGTATAAAAAAGTAGTATAAAAAAGCAGAGCTGAACAGTCCAACTTGTGGCAGCTACTTCATAAAGCACTATCACATGCATTTGAGCAACAAAGCTGACATCATAAAGTGGTTCCTTGCACAAGAAAAATTAAGACAGTGAAACATGCATCTAAGAAGTATTCTTTGGAATTGTGATGAAAGGAAAAAATAAAAGTAATTCAACTGCAACTTCACTTCCAAGAACCCTTTATGGGAAACGAACAGTATGGTGAGCTGATGATAAATCTGAAGCAACATAATTGACAATTAACCTTTTCCTATCACTGGGAAGAGGTCTGACCAATAATGCAAGCTTCACCTCCATAGCATGCCCTGACCTAAAGCCGGTTTGACACATCTATGATTCTATGGTCTAGGGCAGTGGTGGAAAACTTGAGGCACACGTGCAACATGCAACAGATAAGGGAGGGAACAGTGGTGGGTAGGGCAGGGCACAGAAAGCAGAGCAGGGTATGGTGTATGTACTTGATTTGATAGCTACCTACAAGTACATCGGGGTGAGCATCAAGATCTAGGGGAGCAACTCTTCAGGAAGGCACTTCAAGGGAGGATGTGGACCAATGGGCATAAGGTAATAGAGGGTAAATTCAGGCTAGACATAAGAAAAAACTTTTTCTCTGTAAGGGTCACCAGAATCTGGAACACACTCCCAGCAGAGGTGGTGCAGTCACCCTCCTTGGAGGTGTTCAAGATGAAGCTGGTCAGGCACCTTGTTGAGCTTGTCTGAGCCCAATAACTTCCTGCCCACAGCAGAGGACTGGACTTGATGATCTTACAGGTCCCTTCCAGTTCTATGATTCTATATCAAGCAGGGAGTACAGGGCAGAAAGCAGAGCGGCAGCAGATTGGGTAGAGGAAAGGGATCGAAATGGCACCCTGGGAGGGTGCAGGACCAATCTGTGGCAAGCCTGCCAAAAAGGATGGCCTCCACTGATCTAGGATGTCAGATGACACCTGATGATACCAGGAAGATGTTTTCTTCAACCTTCAACTTCTCTCAGAAAAAGAGGTTTAGGAACAGTGGTAATTGAAAAAGTCTTTACGACCACTGAGCAAGATAAAAGTAGTCTGATTTTTAGAGTGAGTTATCCACAAAGCAAAGGAAATTCTCTTCTGACAAGCAAATACCAACCATTTCAAAACTTTGCAGACACTTTCACTCCTCACCACAGCATAAAATTGCTAAAAAGTCTCCATGCCACAACTGGTCAAGTCCTAAACTTAATCCTTACCACCAGTGCCTTCAGGCATAGGCATAAGAACAGGTTACCATGAAGTAAAGGAAGGAAGGAAAGATTTTATTGTCATCAGCTGCTCTGTGGTAAGTGCCCATATGCATGACCTTACTATGGCAGTAAATGAAAGGTAAGTTTCTAGGGGTTAGTTTTGTTACCACAAGACAACAGCATGTACGCAAGGAACTAACACAGAGCAGCTGACATGCCCCAGAGCCCTTCCCTCCCTCACCTCAGTTTGTGTGCCTATGCCCTACTGTCCTCCACTCATTTAATCTGTCATAGATCATCAGTATAACAAGGCACCTGTCAGGACAGCAATAAAGGAAAGAGAAGTTCAGAAGTCCTCTCTCTAGTCAGGGACAAAGGACAGTTTTAAGGTACTGCAAGGCTATCAATATGTTAGGCCACCTAAGGCCACCAAAGAAGGCTTTGAAGAAAAGAGATGAAATCAGTCAGCATCCCTGAATTTTAAGATGACAGAAGCTCCACCCTGACCAAAACACAGGTTAAACTCACCTCTGGCATCAGTCCCGAGAAAGTAATATTATGATGCTGAAACACTCATGTCTTCAGATCTACAAACCTGTTTGCAAGGATTACACCTGAGCTATTTACTAAACATATGGAGCACTTAAAAGAGTCAATGCAGTTTTAAGCAACCTGTCTCTTTTAAGCAGACAGAGCTGCTTCCTCAAAGGGAGGATGCAACTTTGTGCTTCTCGGGGCCCAATTCTTTCAGTGCCATTTTTAACCTTCAGATAGAAAGACCAATGAAGAAAGTTAGACAGCTATCTTTATTTTGTTCATGTATCAAGTTATATTATAGAAGTTACCCCCCCCCGCACACGCACACATTCTGCTGCCTTTTCCTATTACTGCCAAACTGAAAGCTCAACCTTTCAATTGATCCTTTACAAAAGCATGTTGTCAAAACAACAGGAGAGTCCAGTTTAATTGTTTATTAGTCTTTGTCATATGTTTAAGTCACTTAGCTAAGGGAAGTCATTACAGTCTTTTACCCCAGAGTTTCCTTCAACCACTTTGAACTTCCCAGGGCACCAGCCTGGGTGGTTCAAGGCCTCCAATCCAATCCGAGCATGCACAGACCCGCTTCATTTCCACTAGGGACCCAGCTCAGTACCAGGTTCCTTAACCCCGGCTCCCAGTTTCCCTGCCGGAGCCACGATTCAGCACGACCAGTGTGTCTCTCATGTGCCAGGCTTATTTCGGGCCTTAAAAGTAACATCTAATTCAACGAAAAAATGTCACCCCCTTCATTTGTCACCCCCCTTCCGCCCACCCCTCCCCAATAAAAAAACCCTTGAAGACTTTCTCCCTTTTGTTTCTAGCAGCCCCCTGTGCCCTGCCAAACGCGGCGGGGACCACGGCACCCCCCTTGCAACCCTCTCTTGATTTTTAGAGGTCCGCAACCCACCCCGCGCCGCCCCCGTGGAGGGGGCGGGAGAAGGCCACTCACCAGCAGCGGGGTCCCCGCGGCTCAGCGCCAGTGCCAGCGCCAGCAGCGCCCCGAGCGCCGGGCCCGGCCCCCACGTGCCCCGGGGCATCGCCACGCACGG